CTGGAAGTGAGTCAATTATTTGAATAAACAAACAAAGACTTGGTTGCCCTGTAGTTTAGTGCATCCCTGAGACGTCTGTAGGCTCCTTTCCCACGCCTCCTGTCTCATTCCTGAACTAGCAGAGGCTGTTGTGCAAGGCAACCTGGCAGCTCCTAATGAACAGGTAGCTCAATGCACTCCTCAGAAGCAATTCCTGCACTGTCCACTTCTGCACATTTTGCTGCAGGCACAGGGCATCGACTGCATTTTGTGTGTATCAGAGGAGGAAAAAGAGGTTTTGTAGCTTAGGAAAAGAGAAGCATCAGCTTATCAGGCCAAAGGAATGTCACTGTGGTCCCTCCAAAGGGGCCCTGCACTCTGACTGCTTGGACAAGCTGAAATACAGCAGTTTGCTGTGTCAGACACGAGAAGAAGGTGAGGAGACAAAAGAAGGTACCAGCTTTTTGCTGTCCCCAAAAGACTGGAGAGGGTTTTTTGTGTCTAAAAAATATAAGAAACAGTGATAACTTCAGCAAAAATAAGTAACTCAGCCTCACAACTGGCTGTAGTTTCCAGCCTTGTTAGGAAGCAGTATCCCTACATGCAAATTCTTAGGTAAATTAATGAGGACAAACAGAAAGAATACATGAAAGAAACAAATCCCAAACACCCATTGGGACAAAGTATGCATATTTCAATTCCATAAGAGTGAAAGTCTGTATTTTCTAAAACAACTAATGTTTCCTGTTTCCATTAAGGTCTCAGACTGGGCATCCCAAACCATGCAAAGCTGTTGGCCAACAGGTTTATATTTACCCTGGGAGTCAAGGTGAGATTCATGACACTGCTGCTTATTAAAGCTCTTGTTTTAACGTGCTTGGCTTTTGCAAGTTATGACACAGTAAATACATTTGTGTCACTTAGCAACCTCAGTTGTTTCTAAAGGAATGTCTTTTGTTCTTGGAAATCTATTATAAATGCAGATTACAAAACAATTATTGGGGAATCTAAACTTGTCTTATTTGGATGGTGTTCTGACCTCTCTGCATTCTACATTTGAACTATGCACAGGAAAATAATTTACTTTGCACAAGCACCCTTCATTGACATTGCTGTTATGAAGAGAAGCTCTGCATATTTAACAAATATTACAGAAGTTTCTGTAGAAAATAAAGGATGTGAGAAACGCCTGGAGAAAGAAAGGACTGGAAAGGACCTCCTACTCACTGGGTTCACCCAGTTCAAAGCTGTCTGACTGTTTTGTAAACAACACTATAAATACTTTAACACTGTGATGCAACACTACGTAGTCTCTATCATGAATTTATCAACCTGATTCATTTCTACACATGCCAAAGTCTGAGATCACAGACCATGCAACTCCAGCAAAAGGGTTTGAAATGTAAACACCTGCATAAATGAACTATTATTTATAATTTTCACCTTGACTGAGTTACAGGGTCTCCATAACAGATTAGAACATGTGCATGATCCTGAACATGTAGTCAAAGGACTGAGATTACACTGGAATGAAGACTTCAAAGGATTTAAGGGTTTTCTTTCTTTGTCTTTAACAGGTTTAAAGCTCTGAATTCACATCCAGTTGTCCATGTTGTCAAGATCAGTACAAAAGGTAAAATATATAAATTGACCTTTATATTCTGAAATTAAAATGCATCCTCAGGAAACACAATAAAATTATGTCAAATTTTTATAGATGGACACATAATTAATATAATTAGTACTTGTTTATGAAACTCAGATTTTGTCCTCTGCTAGGAATATCTGAAAGACAAATATTACTAAAAGTATCTTAAAGACTGTTTTCTAAACATTTGAACAGATAAAGTGAGGGTGCAAGTGAATAATAATCATAAAAAGGGACCAATGACTGTTCTCAACTGTAATGTCTTGCTAATAGAATAACTTAGACAACAAGTTGCCATGAGAATTTTGGCAATCCCAGCAGACCATACACAGAAATGCATCTGGGAAAAAAAAAAAAAAAGAATAGCATCAATGGTCATTATCAAGGTCATTATCAAATTTCTGCTCAGAAAAATACTGTCAGGGGTCAGAAAAATTTTGTCAACAGTTTTGCAACTCCTTTTATACTTTTATTTTAAAAAGAACCTCCCCCAATCCTTAGTGTTCTATGCTTTGGGGTTTTGGGGATTCTTTTAATTGCAATTACTGAGGTAAACTGCTAAAGTAAAGGCAGTGCTGCAGAGCTCATCTCCAGTGGTAGAAGACCAAGTATGATAACCAGGTTGTGATTCTCCTAATTAAAAAGAGAACACAGTGAGTAAGCTATAGCTTACTCAGGACTTGGCCAAATGACCTGATAGTTACAATGACGAGGCCTCAGCTTCTTTGGGGCTGACCTGGCAGCCAACCCTGTCACTTATGCTCACAAACTCCACACCAGGACACCTATGACAGCCCCTTTATTTGTTGAAGTTGTTCTAATTTCTACAGAGAGCCACAAGCAAACAGCTACCTGTTCATGAACTGCTGCAGCGTTTCTGCCAGGAACATCCCATAATAGCTGCAGACAGTTTAGATCTGCCCCCAGCATGGATTGGGGCTTAGTCCCAGAAAGGTCTCTGGGTGCTGACAGACTGAGATTCATTCCACAAATATGATTACGATGTAAATTCATATTAAGCCCTCTTTGGTACAGTTTTCCCACATAAACAAAGGAGAAGAGAGGGAGAGCCACAGATGTAGGATATACTATCTTCTCCAGCATTTTAGCTTTTCTCTCATCATCCAGTGAAAAAAGAAGATAGTACCTAAGTAATGGCTGAAGTTCCCAATTCCTCTAGGAGGACAATCTGAAACACCCTTCTCCTGAATGTCCACAAATCTCATTTTGTTCAGCTGGTAAGTCTACTAATCCTGATCAGTAGCATTCAGTGTAAACATTTGCAGTGTGTTTATCCCTCAGCAGATACTCAGTCCATTGCCAACCAGTCATCACTAAAACTTCACATTTAAAAAGATCTGAGGACATCAGGATTCTGCTAATGACTGCGCTCTGAGCTCCCTATCTGTGGCACTGATCTGCACGATCCTGCACGCTTTTCCCAGCACTGCCGTTGGTTAGGGATGCAATGAAGCACGATTTGCGATTATCATTCCCGGGCTCATGAAAGCCCCAGGTGTAGATGTAATCACAAGCAGCACTGAGCTTTTGCTGGTATAGCTTATTTTGCTTTTGTGGGAGAAGAAAAGGCTGGAATAAGCTGTACTGGTTTATTGCAGTTTTGCTTGTACAGAATACCAGATTACCTACTCAGAAGTGATCTGAATATAGATCTCCCTTGGAGCTGAAGTAGATCCATCCACTGCATCTATGTAGGCCTGCTTCTATTGCTTTTGAACAGATACTGCAAAAATAAGGAATAAAGGTGAAAGTGTTTTCTTAAAAATATTTGGAGGCGGGCAGGGGGCAACAAAATCTCACTTTTTCATCATCTGTAGAAAAAAATGTGATCTGAGTTTTAACTGACAGTTACCAAAAAGGTGCTGAAAACAAGAAAGTCTCGGTACCTTAAGTACGCACATGAATAATAATATGCAATTAGGTAACATGATTAATGCCCAGCTGATACAAATCCAGGCAGGGATGTAGTAATGGGCTTGGACACCTAGGCTGGAGTGACCAGTACCATGTGCAGATAGCAGGCATGCTGACAAACACGTGCGTTCATGCACAGGGTCTCCTGCTCTGTACAGCAGGTGGAAGTAGCTCAGCAGGACATGAGGACGAACGGACCAAAGGACATGGCCTCTCCTTTGCCAACCGCTTACTGATTAATCAAGGGCACAGTGGTGAGAGCACTTATGTGTACGGGAACTTACACTTTACAAGCTGTTCCCAGCGGAACCGACCGCATGCCCTGTCACGTGAATAAGCATGTTCTGGACTATGTCCTCTGAGTTCCAACACCCAGAAAACCTTTTTTAAGGCTCATCATACCCCTGCCTGAATGATGCAGAGACAGCAACAAGGGAAAGAATGGGACTGGGACATGAAGAGATAGGGCAGAGCCTTGATGCAGGTGATGAAGTAAACCGCAGCCGAGAGAAACCCGACAGAACAGCTGCACAGAGTTGCTTCACGTGTACTAATTCCAGCGATGCAAAGGAAGGCTCCTAAGGCATTTCTGTGTCAAGGAACTAAACCCCAAACCAATGCGCTGCCGGCTGCGGGCACACAGCGGGCACGCAGCGGGCACAGCAACCCGGGCAAAGACGGCCGCCGAGCGCGAGCCAAGCGGCCGGAGCCGGGCGCTGCGGTACGAACGCGCCGCGCTCCCGGCACGGCACCTTGCGGGAGAGGCGCTGGGCAGTGGGGATTGCCCGCACCGCCGGCCAGGCCGGTGAGGTCGGTGCGAGCCGCTCGCGCTCGGCGGGGAAGCGCCAGCTCCGCTTGCAGGCGCGCGTTGCTGCGGGAGAGCCGCACGCGCGCAACCGCCGGGCGCTCACGGGGGCACCGGCGCGCGCCCGCACC